AAAATAATTTTATGGTTGGGTCACAACATGAGGAACTGTATTTAAAGGGTCAGAAGGCCAGAAGGTTGAGAACCACTGCCTAAGAGAATGCAGATAATAATGTGAGTGACTTGGTTTTTTCAACTGTTCAGAAAGACACAAAAACAGTGAAAATGATGTATCAGAAGAGCACATTTCCATTTGGCTACATCGAGGACCTTAAGTGCCGGGTGCTGGAGCTGCCTTACCAAGGCTGGGACCTCAGCATGATCATCCTGCTGCCAGATGACATCGAGGACGAGGCCACAGGTCTGAGGAAGGTAACGGCTCCCACACTCATGCTTCATGTTTCCTTCTAACAGATCGGTTCAGACTGTGTGTAAGTTGTGTGGTAGTAGGTCATCAATGTTTGCTACTCTGAAGCCCTAAGATTAAGTTTCCAGGGACTGTCAGTGAACAGTTGTGGTGGGGTCATAAGAGTCTATATTAAATTTAACATATCAGTGGCAGGTCACTGGAATTTTCTTAAATACACTTTAGAGGAAAGTGCAGTAAAATTAGAATTATATTATTGAAACAAATTTATTAAAATTAAAAATCCCAAAACACTTATACTAAGTAGCTTCAACTTGTACAATGAGATCCTATTATTACACTGCTCCTTCTCATCACAATTCATATAGACTGTGAATTAAATTTCTCACAGCTACGTGGTAGAAAAGACTAATATGACACACCAGCTTGAAAGCTAAGCCTATGTTCTCATATGAACTTTGTATGATGTTTCTATTTTATTTCAGTTAAAGGCAAAGACATTTCTTGTCAAGCTAGGACTAGGCAAAACTGTGAAGATTATGGTTTTTCTTTAGTATCTCTAGCCTGCTGTGTGGCTTTTCTCTACCCTCTCCCTAACCAAACTTGTTATCAGGAAGAGGTCCAATATTAATTATTGACATGTATAAAGTATCTAATAAAATCAGTATGATCCTTCTTTTAATTGTATTTTATTATTTGTCTCTTCTCTGATTATAAAGAGAAATTCTTCAGCTTCATAAAAGAGATAATCAGCATCAGTAGAACAAGTGGAATGATGGTTCCATTCTAGTCCAATAGTAGTAGTAATATGGTAATGATAATAGCTGACAATCTTGTGGCACTTACTAGTAGTTTGTGACAAGTGCTTCGCATACATTAAATCATTTAATACTCACAACAAGGCTATAAGGTAGGTACTATTATTAACCCTCTCCCAATTTTAGATGAGGAACTAGTCCCTTTTCTTTTTTAACCCACAAGCTAAATCTATTAGAGATTACTTCAGCACAGTGAGTTCACAGATAACCACAGTGATCTGTAGGGTTCAGAATAGAAGAAATGGAAGAAAACTTTTGAATTTCACCTTGCATCAATCAACCAGTTAAAGCTTTAACAGCCATCATGGCCTACCACAGTAATCCAGTGTAGTAGGAGTTTAGGAAAGCCTGGGTGGATGGATGGTTGGGTGGGTGGGTGGATGGGTAGTTGAAGCATCTGATGTCCAAAGTCCCTGTTACTTGGGTCCTTGCTGGTTGGACAACAGCTCTGTTCTATTCTCACCAGTTGCTGAAAAGAAATGAAATCCTCCAAATGGAATCTATTTTGGTACAGAATGAGAAGGAAACTAATTAGCAACTGATAACATCAGTCCATTCATGTAAATAATGTGTATTGCCTTGCTTACGTGGAATAGTTCTCACCTCTTCTTTTGCCCTTTCTCATTTCAGATAGAAGAACAATTGACCCTGGAAAAACTGCATGAGTGGACCAAACCTGAGAATCTGCGTTCCATTAAAGTCAACGTGTACCTGCCCAGGTTCAAGCTGGAAGAGAGCTACAACCTCAACTCTCACCTGGTCAGCCTGGGTATAGAGGATCTCTTTAATAGCAAGGCTGATCTGTCTGGCATGTCAAGAGCCAGAGATCTTTTTATATCAAAAATTATCCACAAGTGTTTTGTGGAAGTTAATGAGGAGGGCACAGAGGCAGCAGCTGCCACAGCCGGAATTGCCAGCTCGCTTATGCCAGAAACTGTTGAAAATTTTGTGGCCGACCATCCATTCATTTTTTTCATTCGACACAATCCCTCAACTAACATCCTGTTCTTAGGAAGACTTTCTTCCCCTTAGAGAATGTGGAAACCCAAGGTCAAGCTCAGAGCTGTACCACTGGCCCTTTCAAAGATACATGAAAATTATATATCTTCTACAATATATCTACCACCCCCCCAGAAATCTGTAACTTCCTTTGTAATGTCAGCTCTGTTGGCTGTTTACACCCATTAACTTTGGCAGAGCTATCTATTTTCCTTTCTTTATATTGAACAATTTAGTGATTGCTTATGAATGCACCAAGTATATATGTAGACTCTTGACAGTGTAGTAAACTAAGAAACTCCTGGACTTTCTTGAAAGCCATGAGAAAAATTACAGTACTGTAATTTATTTCACAGATAGACTTCTGGAAGCTATGATAGAGAGACAGTCATGGTTGAAGGGAGGCTTAAAAACAGACATTCAATTGAAATATAGGAGAGCAGCCCAGTTAAGGGTTGGATTATGAAGATAAATTTGCCTTGGCCAGTGTTTCTGACCCTTTGTTCAACAGGATGAGTATTCTATTATAGTCCCTCTGACTTCAAACAATTAAAGAGCTTATTATCCTTTATCTACCTGGTTTGTAGTTTGTGTGGGGTCACAAGGAGTGAAGAAGCAAGTGTCTTATCTTAAAAGATGCCATGAGTTAAGTAAGAGGGGGTGCAAAGATCACACTGTTACCAGCTTCTTGTGTGTGTTCTGATAAGGGCTCTTGATTTCCATCATCTAGTCCAGATTGTGATAGCAATGGGATAGCTTTATGCAATGCTGGGGCAGGGTCTCTATGATCATTATAAACCTTAATTAAATGCACTCCTTCGAATGGGGCTTGAAATGCTGCACTTTCTTGCTCCCACAAAGCTGGTGGGCTGGCTAATAACATTTCCTGAGATTCTGCTAGCCAGACTGATCTCAGTCCTCTTCTTGATTCTATCTGATCTCAGAAAAGAGAGGACTAATGGGATTCTTGGACAGACAATACTGACATCCATGATGATAGTCAGTGACTCAATGAAAGAAAAAGAAGATTTTAGCAAATCTGTTGACAAGCTTTCCTTCCTTTTTTACTTTGAAATGCCTTCTGGCACCTTCAATTTTGAAGGTTCTCTTATGTATAGGACAAACAAGAAAAGCAAGTCACTGCATTCTGTAATCTTTCTCTTTGGGATCTTAGGCTAAAATCTACTCAGTGATTGAGAGTAAATTGTGCTAATCAGGTATAAACCGAACTACAGGGACCCATGCAACTCTGCTCAAATCCTTTTTATATATAAGGGAGCAGGCTCATGGAATACAAATAAATTATTGAAGGTTAAAACAAGTAGTAAATTTCAGAGCAGAAACTAGAATTCAATAAATATTTTATATGGAGAACATCTAATCTTTTACTGCAATGTGAACTAGGTAACTCAGATTTTTTAACACACACACACACACACACACACACAAACAAAAAACAAAAAACAAAAACAAAAAAACAAACAAAAATAAACAACAACAAACCAAGCAAGCATGAGCCCAAAGGCAAGGGAGCTGCCATGATTATGAAGTACTCAGCAAATCCTGGGTAAATTGGTGACTATGAAAACTGGGGCCACTTTTACCCTAGAGGCATTTCCAATCCAACTGAGGTAAAAGGGCATGAAGCATCCATTTTGATGATGTTCAAGGCCAGGCAGGCAGCATTTTGGCCTGTCAATTATGGGGGCCCCATTGTGACCATGTGATTTTACATGGCAACATTAGAACTACACTCTAGGATTTGACTGCAGCAGCTCAGAATGCAGCCCTGATGTAAGTCCTTGGACAGTCCCCCAAATTCCAATCCCTGGGATTGGATTACATCTATTCTGGTTTGCTACTATCCAGAGGCATATGGAAGAAGCAAACAAAAATCATCCCTAGGGGAAGATTACCCTTACACCTCAAATCCTACATAATAAAAGTCAAATATGCAAACTGTCCCCTCTAGAGGTAGTTCAGGACTGGGAGTTTGACAGGGAGACCAGGAGTTTGACCGCTCACTATGACGTGTGCTTACCACCAGGGGGCGGCATGGAACATGGTGTGCGTTGGCCATGTGGTGCTGGCAGCAGGCAGCAGTGGAGGGGCTGCTGCCCCAATGGGCTCCAACTCGAGCATGAGCAGGACCATGGTGGGATGGTGGAGCAGGTGAGTGGGCAGCACCAGTCCAAAGCTGGTGTGACCAGCTGAGGTGGGGGAGAAGGGGACACCACCCAGCTCCCAAGTGCTGAGGGTGACAGCGCAAATAGCAACATTAAAGTATTTCTTCTAATTATTTCCCTTTTAATGTGCACGAATCTGTGCACCAGGCCGCTGGTTATTTTTATAATCGGCTTTTCTAAGTACACTATTTTTCACATAATCAAAGATAAGTGGGATGGATGAAGAGCTATGACAACATGAATAAAAATCAGCATGAAAGAACAGCTAATGCAAACAAGTACAGGGGCTCTAAATATTGCAATAATCACACACAAATTATAAAACAACACTGTTTTATCAAGTTGAATAAAACCAAGGTTAAACATTTCAGCAGATAACTAAAACTTTAAAAGATACTGCATTTTTTAGTAAAAATGAAATAGAGGCCAGCCAGGTATAGCTCAGTGGCTGAGCACTGACTTATGAACCAGGAGGTCATGGTTTGAATCCCAGTCAGGGCACATGCCTAGTTTATGGACTCGACTCCACAGTTGGGGGTGTGCAAAGGGAGCCAATCAATGATTCTCTCTCATCATTGATGTTTCTATTTCTCTCTCCCTCTCCCTGTCTCTCTGAAATTAATTTAAAAATATTTTTTAAAAAAGATCAGAAGTGAAATAGAACTCCAAAACTCAAAAATATAACACATGAAAAACTAAATAGATAAATTTATCAACAAATTAAATAGAAAAAAGTGAATTGTCAGACCAGAAAAAAATTACCCATAATTTATTCCAGAAAGACAACTATAATGAGTGAAGCCTAGAAAGACAAAAGAATGGAAAATATAAAAGGAAGGATAAGAATAGTTAAAATAGTCAGTAAGAAGATGTTTAACAGGAAAAGATAAGGCAAGAGACAATATGGTGCAGAATAATATTTAAAGATCTAACATTCAAAATGTGTATACTAAAACTTATTTGTTAAAACATCAATTCACAGATTTTAGAAATCCTACTCACCCACGAAGCAGGATTCTACATAGAAATCCATCTCTACTCACATTTCACTGAAACTACAGAAAACCAAAGAAATGATCATGAAAGATATAAAAAGACAAAGTACCCACAGAGGAGCAATAGTTAGAAGGACAATATATAAATCAACAGAAATTATGTAAAACAGAGATTACAGACTGATTAACATGCAGAAACAACATCACCCAAAACTCCTGCCAATCCAGAATTTTTCTGTACCCAGGAAAAATATTCCCTAAGATTTATTCAGTCAAACAAAAACTGAGAGAGACATTAAAAAATTCTAGAGAATATTATTTATGCAAAAACAACGTAAGAGTTGTAGGAAAAGAAATAGAGCAAGAAAATATTTAAATATAAATTTAAATAAATATTGACCATATAAAACAATAGTAATAATGTCTGCAGAATTTCAAACATACACAAAATTAAAATAAAGGAAACCATAGATGTTGGGAAGAAAAATAGGGGTAACATTTCTGGAGTCCTTGCATTTTCCGGGAAGAGAATAAAAGCACAATTACCATCACTAGCTGCTTAGTGACATTTTGGTCAACAACAGAGTGCATCTACCTTGGTGGTCCCACATGATCATAATGGAGCTGAAAATTTCCTATTGCCTGGTGATTGTAGACACCATAGCACTATAGTGCAAGGCATTACTTATGTGTTTGTGTTGACGCTGGTATAAACAAACTTACTGCACTGCCAGTCATAGAAAAGTGTAGCATATACAATTATGCACAGTACATGATATTTGATAATGGAAGTAAGTGTAGCTATTATATTATAACTTTTATCATTATTTTAGACTGGGTAATTTTTCTATTTATGAAAGAACAATGTTCTTAAAACAGTGTGGAATGTTACAATGGCAGCAGCTGCATACATTTTGTGTTTATTGTGTTTCTTTTTTTTGTTTTTTTCTTTTTTTTTCTTTGCCAGCCCCCACTCGGCACCCACCCACCCGCTCTCTTGTGTTTCTTGATTGAATCATTTTCTCTCGTGCTGGACTTAATCTCATGCTGTTTTTTACAGTAAAATACTGTACAGAGTTTTATCTTAGAAACAATAGGATATACCACACTGCCGAAATCCAGATTAGGCTGTACTGTCTAGGTTTGTGTAAGTGCACTTTATGATGTTTGCACTACAACAAACTTGCCTAACAACATGATTTTTAAAACATATCCCAAAGGTAGATATCACATATCTGTACAATTATATTAGACTAGAAGCCCAGTGTAGGAATTCATGCGTGGGTGGGGTCCCTCCTGGCCAATTGGGCTGTCTCACCCAGTCCCAATTGGGACCAGAAGCAGGGAAGGATTGCGGGAGGTTGGCCAGCCACAGGTGGTTGGCTGTGTGAGTGAACTGACCGCTAGGTCAGTCTGCCCCCTAGTGGTCAGTGCGCATCATAGTTACCGGCCAGTTGTCAAGTCATCTAGCTGTCCAGTCGTAAGGGTCACTTAGACTTTTATATATATAGATTTTAGTAAGTCAAGGATGCATTTCGTACTGTCTAAGGCAGTGGTGGGCAAACTGCGGCTCACGAGCCACATGCGGCTCTTTGGCCCCTTGAGTGTGGCTCTTCCATAAAATACTGACTTCTGTGCATGGTCCACGAAGTTTCAATCGCAGTGTACGTACGTGCCCACACGTGGTATTTTGTGGAAGAGCCACACTCAAAAGGCCAAAGAGCCACATGTGGCTCACGGGCGGCAGTTTGCTGACCACAGATCTAAGGTAACCAGAAGAAGAATAGTGAAAGGGTTTATAACTTCCATAATAAACCAAAGAGAAAAAAGAAAAAAACAAAACAAAATTACACAACCAATCCAAAAATGGGAAAGAAAGTAGATACACAGAACAGGAATGACAAATAGCAAAATATCACATTAAATTCCAAATATTTAAATAATTATTAAAATTTGAAATGAGAGATCCTAACCAGAACTTCGCTGGAGATCCCGACCAGAACTTGGCTGGAGATCCTGGCTAGAGGTCCTGACTAGGCTGCTGATCAACTGAAGGCTGTCTCCGTGTCATTCCTTCTTCGCCGACTCCGTCCACACCTTTGGGGACCCCTGGACCTGCTGGGGTTGGACCCCAGCAGTCTTTGACTTTAAGGTTTAAAACAATTAACAAGGTGGCTTGGTTTTGGGGGGTAGGGTGGAGTGGAGGCATGACATGAGCTTTTTTTGAGACCTGAACCCACTTGATGTATCTACTGAGATTATTTTTTCTTTCATGATATTTTTGTTCCATGTTGTATTTTATGTATTTTAAAATATGCCTTATGTACTTAAGTTTTCTTTGCTTCTTTTGGCAACCCATACATTTACAGAGTAATTTTCTTGATCTATTTTCAAGCTTCATAAGTTTCTCTTCATTTATCCTTTGTCAAATGTGCGGATGCCTGCTTCATAATGGCTTCTGATAGAGCCAATCCTGCAGCAGAAACACACACAGGAGTGGGGTCTAGCACACGGTGCATTTCCAGACCTGGCTGTTGGAGGAAGCGATTTGGGGGTGAGGAGTAAGGAGCTGGGCAGAGGGGAGGGGAGGTTGTACACGTGGATCATGGAGTGTGCCTCCAACTGGTTCCACCAAGAGCCTGAGAGGGGGCTGAGGCTCAGAGCTGTGAGGGCACCCCTGGAATTCACTAGACTTAGACTCAGTTAGTCTAAAGACCTGCACACAACGTGTTGAGAGCTGGTCCTTGGTGTGTTGAAGCCAGATAATACACAGGCTGAGATGGTTGAACTTTTCTCTGAAGATACAGTCAGAAGGAGGGTAGAGAGTCCATGCAAAAAATGAGCTGCCAAGAGCCACAGACTTCCCTTCCCTCCTCCCACTGCTGGTCCCAGGCTGTGAACCACAGAGCCCGGACCAGTGTGCGCAGC